TGGATTGTTGTCTAGGAAGCCTTAGCCCACCTCAGGACACCATTCCCAAAGCTTCCAATTGGTCTCTGTGATGCAGGTCTCATGTTGTCTTCCACGTCTGCTCACTGGTAGGACAGAAGAGAATACCGCCTGTGCACCTATCTCCTTCAGCACACCCCCCAGAGCATGGTAGTCCTCCATCAGGTGATCAGGGCTTCTCCTGGCCACATCATTAGTACCCACATGGATTAGGACCATGGGGTAGTAATCGGTGGGCTGGATCACAGCCTGGATCATCCCCGTCACGTCCTGAATCTTTGCTTCAGGCAGGCAGTAGACCTCGCGTGTCGAGGGGTCCTGGCAATAGATGGGGCCCTCTGTACCTCTCAGGATGACAACCACTTGATGCTTCCTCCTCTGGGACTGCTTGGCTCCTTCGGCCTGTTTGGAGCATGGAGAGTGTGGAGTTGCCTCCTCTCCTTCCTTCTCCTTCAGTGTTGCCAGGGCCTCATACCTGTTCTCTAGCTGGACTGGAGGAACTGGTACTGTTATGTTGTGAGCAGCCCTGGTTCTGGATGTGACTGTCTGCCACTCTGCAGTGGAGGGCATGTTGGGGCTGCAGCTCATAGAGTACTTCTAAAAGGGCACTATGGCTTATGCCCAAAGAGAGATTTTAATACATGTTGCCATTATTTTAAAATAGCTGCCAGGTTGGATGGGAGCTCTTGCATAATGAAGATTGACATGGGACTGAAAAGAGATCCTTAAGTCTAGCCCTCAGCTGCTGCAAGCAACTGGGTTGTATAATTAATTTCATAAACACTGATTGATGTTGGTTAATGTACAATAATAGCTTGATCAGTATGAAGAGACATTATTTATTATAGCAAGCCTGTTTCACTGAACCTATTTCTAGTTCAGCACATGCTGAGGTCTCCGCAGGGCTAGGGAACTCCTTTTATCTCCCTACCACCTTCCACTGTTCCCAACAAAGCATCAAGGCTTGAATAGACCATTCATGCCTTCCTTCCAAAACATTCTGCTGGCTTCCTCTCTAACAGCTACTGTTCTCCCCAGGTCTCTATTGATTCCCCCTTTCTCCCCTTTCCCTTTGCCTAGTGAGAGCTTTCTTTTGTTCAACAGTCACTCAGAACCAAATGGTTTGCTTCATTCAGTGTCTGAGCTTTAACTGAGTAGCATTGTAACATGTGCCTCTGCTCAAACCAACACCCTTTACTAACTAGCTCCTTCCAGAGTGCCATAAAGACACACTTCCCCATATAATATTATGCCTTGATGGTGGTTTACTTTGAGAATTGGAGCTAGTAGCATGCACATTAGTCTGTGAAAACCAAAATGTATGATGGATACTTGTGGAAAAAAATCCACAGAATTATACTATGTATACTGTGGAATATCTCCATATACAGGAAAGGCATGTCCTCTTACTTGGGGGTAGTTACACTGGGAAGGGATGAAATATTGGAGAATATACTGGGTTAGCTCCCAAGAAGGTAATTAAATGACCAAATAAATCATGAGTGGGTACATCTACATAAGATGCCATAATGCACAGTAGTCTAATCTACTGCACATTAATGCATCATGGCAGAAACTGTATTAATGCACTAATGCACATTAAGTATCACAAAAAAACCTGTTTGCTTTGCTACTGAGCATTAGCACAAGCTCATGCACCTTTATGTAGTACCTCGTATTAGAGGAACTAAACTTAATGAGCAGTAGCAAAGGTGCATTAAGGAATGTGTAGACATGCCCAGTATGTCTAAATTATACCAACATTGGAGTAGCTTGGAAAGTTCTGCAAGTCTGTCTATCCATGAATCAGTTTTCTGTGTTAACATTTAGGAGTAGGGTGTGGGGGAAAGGGGAGGGAAACGGGGTGGAGGGGATAAGTTGAGTACCCAAACAATGAAGCACCAAGAAGCCCAGCTGTTGCCTTTAAAACTGTCACTTCATTTCTTACCCTGCTAGCCCTTGTGCACCAGAACTGCAAGGGCTTTCCCTGTGGCTACAGGAGACCATGTCAGAAACATTCCCCACTAAAGTTCAGCAAGAGCTGTTCCAGCCCCTTTCAACCACAAAGCACCTTATAATAGCCCGAATGCACTGTAAAAAACTTAGTATCTTTAGTCCAAAAAATCCCTACAACATGCCCCAGTGACAGAGCAGGAGAGATGAGGGCATCGCCAGTGCCTCAGACTGTGCAGTAGCAGGGAACTCATTAGGTACAATGTGACCAGATGATTAGTGCGAAGTAGAAAATGCTTCATGCTACAGTAGAAAGGTAAGAAAAACCTCAATGTTCTTGCCAATCTAGCCAGGGGAGAAACTTCCCCAAATCTTGTGATCAGTTTGATCCTGACTGTATGTATGTGCAAGATGCACTATGAGAGATGTCTCAGTACAATTAGGAGCACCAACTCTCACTGGCCATTTTGAAGTGTAGCCAATGCCTGATGGATGCAATGAACCTTGTTAGCATATTACACATTCATTGTGAAATAAAATGAACAAGGGAAGAAAATTTAAATGTCGACTTCTGTGTAGGACATCCTTAAAACACAAACTTAATTAAAAAACCCCAGGATGTCACAAGCCTACCACCCTAGTGCAAACCCTCATACCACCTCATACCACAGAAGCTAAGCTCGCTATTGCCTTCATATCCAAACAATATGGATACCAGTAAGAGGTTTCCACTAGTGTAAGAGGAGGAAGAACATATAGCCCACAAGTAATTCCAAAGCTTTTTAATTAAATATAAGAGGGTGACTGCAATGACAAAAAGATGATGCTTCTTAACAAAAAAGAACAGCAGTTCCCTCACTGTATAGATAACATGAATGAAGATGAAGCAATACAGGAACAAAGAAAGCTGGTCCTGAGGTCTGAGGAGGTCCTGAAGTCCCTCAGCAGCCTGTGGAAAAAAGGGAGGAAATGTGAGATAGTGCAACCCCATGTTCTATATCTTGCCTTACAAAGACCCTGTTGGTCCACACAAGTAGGCAGCTATTCGATCCGGCTTTGGATCCGGCTGCTTTGGATGCCAGTGATCTAATCCGGAGCTCTGGACCGGGTTCCCACTTCGATCCGGCCATAGCAGCTCCAAAGCTGACAGGCAAAACTCGTAATATGGGTACTTGTGCAACTGTGTCTGCCTTGGGACAGTTGATTGTCTGTATTGATTATTTCCTCTCCTTAGTTTGTGGTTTTGTAGGTGTTAATCATTGCTCGTTAACTTGTTAACACCTAAAGACAGCGCACATATATGGGGCCTCTCCTGCTCCTTGGAGCAAGTGTGAATGGTAGTATAGAGATTTAGCTGGGAGGAGGGAAAAAGCCCAGAAAGTGAAGGATTTGGTACTTTGAAACTGCAGGTTGGGGGTATTCAAGGGAGAGTGGCCATGGGGAGCAAGTAGAAAAGGTGCATCTGGTTAAGGAAGGGAAAAGGGACTTATTTCTTTTATTCAGATCCCAAGATCAGGGCTTCATCCATCAGGTCAGAGAAAGCTCCTTTGTATTTTCTTGGCTGAGGCAGGGAAAAAGGGAAGGGGAAGCTTATCAGTAGCTACAGCAGAGAGAAAGAGTGCTGGTTTCTGCTGGGCTTTTCTTCTGGTTTGTTTACTTGGTTACATTGGAAGGAGAGGGCTTTTTCATGGGAGGGCAGAATTTTCCAATCAGCATGGGAAACTGAAGCTGCAGTTGCATTTACACGGAAGGGAGGTTAGTCACTTTTAACCCTGTCTCCTATCAGACAAACCAAAAATATGAAAAAGGCAGGATAACTTTTTTCTTCAGTGGAATCATTCATCTGTAAGATGCAAGTATAAGTCATGATGCTGGGATTTGATTTAGGCTAACCAGAAGGTTCCTCAAAAGTTAAAAGAATTAAGCTCATTCACTTCCTTCCTGGAGATTTGGAAAAAAAGTTAGTTGAGGTGGTAGCCATTTTCTGAATACATGTCCTGGACCATGCCATTCTTCTTCCTTACATTGCCACTTTTATACTTACTGGCCCAGATGCCTGCAGACGCATTAGCTCCATCTTCTCTTTGTGCTGCCGTTGCTTCTGCTTCTCTTCATATTGACATTTCAGCATTGCTAGCTCCATATCCTGCCGCATCTTCTCCAGCTCAGTCTCAGTGGCTGGGGTCTGCCTGAAATTTGCCACCTTCATCTCCAGCCAGTTGCTGATTTTCCTCTCATTGGTGACTGATTGCAGATACTTGAGTTCTGCCTGTGGCTTGGTCTCCCTATGCATCTCCTGGTCTGCAGTGTTTTGTAGCTCTGTCGCATCATCGGAGAGATCTGGGAGACTATCAGGAGTTTCTTCCTAGTATGTTTGGGGGTGGAGGGGAGAATCATCCACTCAAATTTAAGCTGATAAAAACTATGTAAGCATCTGCTGGCAAAAGAAATGTGTTCAACTTAACTTAAGCAGATTCAGCCTGTGTGTGTGTAAAACACCTGCACTTAAATATTAAGGTCCTATTAAAGTCCTATTTGCACAACTAAGCCAGAGGCTCCACTTCAGCATGGCTTAAAGTTGTAAAGTAACCATGTCCTCATGACCAAATCAAAGTACTTGGCAAAAACCCAAGGTCTAGAATGCTGATGTATGGATAAAAAATATTAAGGATCACTTGGAAGATAAGGAAGTCTAGTAAGTGGTATTATACCCAATAGGAGCTTACACTAAGAACTTCCTCTGAGAACTATGGTATGAAGATCCTGCCACCATCTTTGATATCAATAGCTAGAATATTTTATCATTCTGGAGTAATTTGTGTCTGTACATAACATGAGGTTTGTCAAAATGAGCCAATTAAAATGAGAAGCCAGTTTGTTTTGGCAGAAAAGGGAACGAGAGACACAGTTACTCAAGCTAGTCTTAAATCAAGTAGAAGGCAGGGTAGATTTGCACCTTTCAGAGTAACCAAAGTGTGCACACACGTGTGTGTGCATGTGTACATTATATATATGTACACATTTGTGTGTGTGTGTGTGTGTGTGTGTATACATATAGCACAGAAAAGGGAGTGCTAACAGGCTAAATTAGCAGGAGTAGCATTGGGTTGAGTAGCATTGGGTTTCCAACAAGATGCCACAAATAGACCATGCAAGGGAGGTCATATATCTCCCTTATAAGATTAAGGAAACCTGAATATATTCTTTGTACAGGGGCAGATATTCTTTTCCATTATTCATTGGACCAACAAGAACTGGTGCTATTTTAGACTTAGTTTTGGTAAATATCAAGTTATTATAAATGTGCTAGTAATAGAAAATAGGTTTGGGTAGTGTAACCACAAATAATTCAGATTATATTAAAAGAAAAATAAACAAAACTTTTACATAAAGCACCATGAGGTAGAGTGCCCCCTCATCCCTACTCCCCAACCCAGCAGATGCTCACCTGTTAGGTCAGGGGGGACTGAGCTCTGTTTTGGAGCCACCCAAGTGGAGAAGCCTTCCTGCAGCCTCTTTCCTCTAGCCCCACT